GGTGGGATGGGGGTACGGTGGAGTATAAATTTTCTGGGTAAATTAATGCTCAGAGAATAGTGATCTAGAATTAAACGTCTTTGTTAGTGAAAAAAATTGTCAAGTAGTCAACTAACCACATTTATCAATTTATAGCTTCTCATTTGTTCAATAACCACATTTATTCTACTTGAAAAAAAAAAAGATGAGCCCTATTATCCAGGCCCCCTGACCCGGCCGGATGGTTACTGAAAGTAGGTAAATTAGACTTTAATCGTAGATTGGTGGCAGGGTGTAGAGCCTGCAAATGATACCTGTAGAGACCTATGTTTGACATAATTATCTCCTAGCGCAGTTGCAAGAAATTGAATTCGGCTCTACCTCCTTGACACTCTTTGTCTTTGTCAACTGTGCAACGTCCACCAACACATTTATTACACTTGAAAATGTACTGCATATTCTCCATCATAGCAAGGAAGGTCATGTTTGAATTTTGATCAATATATAATCTTGAAAATGAAAAATTGAATTACATACAATTTTTTTTTCATATCCAGTTCTTAGTATAAAATCACATTTTTTAAAGCAAGCTCACATTTCCATCCATCTTATAATCTCAATATCTTAATTGTATAGGTGACACTCGAAGACTGGATGTGAAAAGCATATGTTAAATAATACTCCGTAACATTTTTAGATATACAATATCTTTTTTAGACATATACTTTCATTAATTATAAATTAAAATAAAACAATTAAGCCGTATTTTTTTAAATAAAATTTTGATGTAATTTTTAGTAAACAAATGGTTTTTTTTTAACTTTCAATTTAGTACCAATATTTTTAAAAAATAACATGAACTAAATGTGCTAAATTAATTTTGCCATTTGAATAGTGGGCCATAGACACATGTATTTGCAGGTAGAGGACATGGCGTGATTGGATGGATGGAGTGATGGACGGACTCCTCTTAAAATCGTGTCATTGCAGCAAACGCGTTTTTTCTTCACCTTCCCGTAAGGCATGTTTTTTAGGACCGTAAAAAAAAGAGCTGGATGTTGGAAGAAACTGAAAAAAACTAGAAAGAATCGGAAGAAACTGGAAGGAACTGGAAGAACTGGAATGAACTGGAAAAAACTAGAAAGAACTGGAAGAAACTGAAAAAAAACTGAAAGGAACTCGAAGAAACTAGAAAAAACTGAAAAATCTAAAAAACTTTAAAAATATTTATTTTAAATTCTTGTTGTTATAAATTATTATTATTATTATTGTTATTAGTGTTATTATTGTTATTATTATCATTATCATTATCATTATCATCATCGTCATCATAATCATAATCATCATCATAATCATCATCATCACGTTATCTTAGTGAATGCCTTTAAGATATAAAAAAAGTATTGTTATTTTTTAAATACAAAAAACTACTTTTACAAAAAATAATTATAATATAAAGTTAGCATAAATATAAAAATATTAAATTTTAAAAAGGATGTGTAGTTATATTGCACCTCAATTTATTTATGCAATATTTATTATAAATAATATATTTGTAATTATAAGTTATATATTAAACATTTTATTTAAATATCATAAATGTCACATAATCAAACCTATTGTTTCTTTCATGATTGACATTTTATTTTCATTGAATTCCTATTTTTGGAATAAAGACATAGAACTTTTTTGTTCATTTTTTATGTTTTACTCATATTTTAGTCTTTTTCTCTAAGCTCTTTTGACTTACAATTTTTTTTTATAAAAATTAGAAAAATGAGCAATTTTTAAGTAATAAAGGGAAAACTGAAATGTCTTATAAAAAGTTATATTAATAAAACATTCAATGTAACTATTTTATCCATAATTTTTTAGTATAATTTAACATATTGATGTTTTTCTGTTTTATCATGTAGACTAATATACAAAAAAATGTCTTATTCATATTAAAAAGTTGAAGAAAAAAATAATAAGTGTGAATCGTAAAAATAGTGAGATGAAAAAAATAATTTATAAACTATAGTTATGAATATAACAAATGTAATAATAATAATAATAATAATAATAATAATAATAATAATAATAATAATAATAATAATAATAATAATAATAATAATAATAATAATAATAATAATAATAATAATAATAATCATCATCATCATCACATTGAAATATATCATTTTTAGAGTAATTGGTTGAGTAGAAAGAATTTGAAGAGAATGAGAAAAAGTTAGAAGAAATTGGAAGGAACTGTAAGAAACTGGAAGAAACTAGAAGGAACTAGAAGAAACTGGAAAGAACTGGAAGAAACTGGAAGTTAAGAGTTCAAGCCTTAAAGAACAGGCTCTTAAAAACTTAACGGTTTGAAAACATTTACAAGTTTTCATTTTTTTAAAATTAAGTTGTAGGAATAGAAAATGATTTTTTTGCAAATAAGATCTTAGTTGGTCATCATGGTGTAAAACATACTCCGTAATGTCTAGATTCGATTTTAGATAATGACGATAAAAAATGATTGTGATTCGCATGTGATCTTTGCATGTTTCATAAATTCATATCACCTAATATGCGATTAAAGTTCAATTTGCCTCCTCTCAGTGACCGTCTGACCGGATCTGAGGAGGCCGTCGGAGATGAGACTCATCCTTTTATAAATTGATATCACCTTTATTATCAATGAGCAATTAAACTCAAATTATACGATTTGAACTGCCTAAATAAAAAATCTAAGAAGAAAAGGGTTGGGTTGAGGTGCGAGGGGTTTAGAGGTAGTTTGACGGAGAAAAATCATCAATATAACACCGAAATAGTGTAGATGTCTCTGGAGTTTTAAGGTCAAAATAATCGGGTAAAAAGAATCTTAGTGGTGATATTTTTTTTAAAATTTAATATTTTGAAACTATGTATAAATATTACGGAGTATATTTTGCATGACAACACAACTATCAAGATCAAAGTTTACAAATTTGATCTAGAAGAATCAAATGAAAAAGATAGAAGAACATCCCATACAATAGCTAGGAGTGGTTGCCAAGTGGGAACAAGTTGTGGAGAAGTGTGGGAGTGGGCAATGAATTGGTCAAACCTAAAATCATACGCCACACTCTTCCGACCCATACAAAATTAAATTCGAAGCAATCTTTCAAAGCTGCGTGGAAAAAGAAAGCATGTGCACCGATGATGGGATTGCATTGTTGGCCTTTCACCCACACTTGGGGCCAATTTCTAACTTTCTCCCTAACTCATTCATTCCCCTAGAAAGTCTCCTAAAGCATATATCCTCACAAGTCACAAAGTCTACACAAATAGTGTCATTTTTTTGCCAATAAAGAGATTGTTTTCAACGTCTAATATATTTGAATTAACCTAGAAGTACCCTATATGTACACCAAGCCAACACAGACACAAAATGTCTGTGCAGCACAGACATTTTGTGTCTGTGTGTTTCTGTGTTCGCTTGGTGTACATATAAGGTACCCCATGTTGGTGTACCCCTAACATTGCCCAATATATTTTCACAAGTATTATTCCAACGTCTCTTGTTTGTCACATATATGTTGAAAGGATTTTAGAGGAAATGTACATAGCGATTGCGATGCCTACGGTTGAACTCTAACAAGCTTCCATATGTTGTGTCTCCAACCCCAACGAAGAGAGCCTCAGTATCGGGGCTGAAGGATATTCCCGCGATTTCCCCGAACAGATCAATCTCCTGGCATGACTCGTAGTTGGAATGCGTGTCGAAAATGTGCACGAAATCTGCCGGCTCCGCCATGGCCAAGAACCGGCCGTCTGAGCTGAACCGGACCGCGCGAATTGCGCCCATTCTCCCTTTGAGGACCGCCAGGGAGCGTGACAAGTTCCTGATGTCCCACAACCTACAAGTTGTGTCCTGGTTACCTGTTGCAACAATTTGTCCGTTTGGGTGCCAGGCTGAGGCGAATGAATAGTCTAGGTGACCTTTAAGGTTGCCTGCAACCTGTAAATCAGAGTTGTAATCATAGCAAATGTTGCCCCAAAAATAGATTGACACCTTAAAACAGCAAAAAAGCAAGCAGACTCATTTTTTTCCACGTGATTTAAAAATAAGGTTGCTATGTTTTTTTGAAATAATCAAATTTATACGCATTTCATATTTTCACATCTGAAGGTGTACAAAGTTAATGATTTCAAACACAAGAGTATCATTTAGCTCTGGGCAATTTCACATTTAGTCCTATGTTTACCCAGTACTTTAATTTCCACAGGTGCAAATTTCCTCAACTTTTTTCACCCAAAGAGTATTTTTTTGGGGGGTCTTGCTAGAGATACACAAGCAACTGTACACCACACTTTTCACATACACACTGAGACAATAATTGTCTCTCACCGCGCACACAATTGATGTCAACGTGGTGTACAAATACTGGTTTACCCCTAGCTTTTCTATTGGAGGAGGGTACAAAGTCAAATGTTTATGTAGATAATCAGGAGCATAAGTGACCAAAGTCTAGTCGTAGGAATGACCAATCTTTATGTGATATGGGCCACTATGGGGCTTAAAGTCAAAAACAAAACATGTGATGCAAAACCAAATAGTGGGTCAAACATGGGGTGCAAATACTATATTCTAGTACTCCCTCCGTTTTCAAAAACACTTCCTCTTTTATTTTTTTCACTTCCAACAAAACACTTCCACTTTCTATTAAAAAATCACTTTTACCCTTACTTTTTCATACCCTACCTATCACATCATACTTTTTCTCTAATAATCTACCCATCACATCTTACTTTTACCCATCACATCAAGGGCAAAATTGGAAGTCAACTACAATTTAACACTTCCTTATTTTTCCACTTTTTCAAAGTAGGAACTCTTTTTGAGAACGGAGGGAGTATGATTTTAATGGTACATGCTTAAGCAGGTGTAGCCTTGAAAATAAAAGCTTTCATGCTGTTTTGTTGGGGGATATTGGAACAGTTGAATCTTTGAGGAAGAAACACTAACCTTTCCTGTATGAGCATCGGCTATCAAACATTCAGGGTCGTCACCAACAACCGTGACCATTTTACCATCTGGGCTGACAGAAATATTCTACCGGGAGATAGGAACGGGGAAGTCAATTCCTAATCCAAATGTGTTGGGAGTAACAATCTGAAAAAAAAAATATAAACAAAACATACTCACATTAACAGACCAAGGGAACGTGAAGCGGTTAAGATAAACAAAGCTTTGGGCATCAATCACTCTAATTTGTGCGTCATTATTTGCAGCCATAACCTTCACCAAGCCACTGAAAATTGAAAACATCATAGCTTGTCACAGTACTCTTTCTTCATTGAGCTTCTTTAGTGAGTTTTCCTCCATTTCTTGTTTATTCTTGATTGTTTTTTTCCCCTTGGGAATATATGAATGGACTGGGGACTTACTTAGGTGCATGACATATGTCCACTGTGTTAGTTATAGCATTTTTGCCGGTTGTTAGTTTAGTGCAAAAGGCGACCCCTGGTTGGTTTATGTACTGCAGAAGACGAGAAACAGAAAAATTATCACAAGAGTAGCACAATCTTTCCAATATCCCCGTTTGTGTATTGTTTAGCTTTCATACCTTGCATATGAGTTCCCCTTGAAAACCACCTGCAACCATTAGATTGTCTTTAACGGCAAGAGAGCATATCTGCACTCTAAAGAGTGTCTGGCCAATGGATCCAGGGTATTTCTGAGCACAGAGGTCAAAGAGTCAGTGCCTAAAAACTTATCCACATTAAGGGCAAAACCCAAGAACTCCCTCTGTTCTAAAAACGTGGGGTTGTATGTTTGAAAGTTGAATTTAGGAGGAGAGGTTTAAAGGGAAGAGGGGCATGTTTTTCTTTTATTTTTCAATTAATATAACCAGAGTTAATTCAATTAAATAAATCACTAAAATATTACGGAGTAAGTTTATACTCCCTTTATCCCGCTATCTTTCGGACATGGGAAAGTGGTAATTGTGTGGCAAGTATTGAATATGTATAAACAACGAACACCTTCAAATGACACAAATTTGACAAATTAGGAAATGAGACAGATAATCAGATAGAAAAAATGATTTAAAAAGTCAAATATAGTGCATGGAGGGAGTACTATATCATCATTTGATATGTTTCACTTCAAAATTTGAATATTTTGCTAAAAATGAAAAAAGAACAGCTCCACCCCCCCTCCTCCTCCTCCAAACCCCTCCGAAACTCAACTCGCAAGCATATCGGGCGGGGGTGGGGGGGAGGGTGTTTCATAGGCTACAATACATTTAACTACGGATTATGTTTCTAAGTGGTCTAGCAATATCAACAAATTACATTTACATAATGGGCGCTACTTTACAAACATATGGGAGTAGTTTTTGCCTTACCGTTGATGGTTCAAGTGGTCTAGCAATATTAAAAACTTCCTTCTCTTTTCTGCGAAGAGAAGACCAGTACATGAGCGAGTTCCTTTGCACCAAATAAACATCATGTTTTGAGGTTGACCATAAGAGGTTCCTTAGCTGAAACCAAACAACCCACATTTTCAAAAACAGCAGGGAAAGATAAAAAAAGAGAGTATTTGGTAAAGATTACTTTTGTTAAATATTAACATTGTAATGTACCTTAAGGAAAATGTTACACCTATTACAGTATAGTTTAGAGAATACAAACAATATATTTGACGTCTGCTACTCGCAAATAAAAACAGATGTTGGATACTTCCAACACAAAAATGTGCATCATTGCAAGGTGTGCATAGTTAGAAGAGAGCATACACACAGGATCATCTCCAGTTAGAATGAACAAGGCACTTCTCATCCACTCAATAGAAAAATGAAATGAAAACCTATAACTTTAAACGAAGGAAAGAAACTGAATGAAATGGACTTAGATGTCAACGTAGAGAGAGAGAGAGATGATGATGATGCAGGAGAATAGTTTCAGAAGGAAACAGCACTTTAAAAAAATTACTTGTGCAGTCTTAAACAAAATATGCAGTATCCTCAAATACAGCTGACCCCCTTAACTCGCATGCAATGGGCAAGGGCCTTTGAGGCATATGGGTAATGTTGTTTTTGTTGTTGAAGTATCCTCAAAATGCAACCATACGACGTATAATGGAACAGAAGGAAAACACAATAATCTGAGCAAGGCTGGCACGGTCGGAAGAAGGTCTTTGAAATCTCATGTGTTCCAACCATCATACCATATGGAAAATGTCCCTTAATGTGCCAGCTACGCTGCTCAGATTTTAACTGCAATCATGCTTCTAAAGCTGAAATAAATATGAAATAGCAATTCCACTATATATGAATAAATAATGGTTAATAAAAATAATACTCCGTATTAAAAAAGAATGAAACCTAGACCATTCCAGAATGAATTGAGCTCAGTATTTCCTTCAAAATAAGAAATGATATCAGGGAGTCATAATTATATAGAACCCTAGAACCTTGGGAAACAATACATTCAATCAGTCTTACAAAGTGAAGAAATGAAAAGCAAATTAGAAAGAAAAAAAACTGAAAAAAATCAAACAGTCCTACAATTGATATAAGTTGGTTTGTTGTCCTGCTATCACCTTGAAAACTGTGTAGCTAAATAAAGATACTTCTGTAGAGGTAATATGGAAAATCGCAGACAGTTATTCCAATCTAATGTTGAGGTTAAATTTAAGTTGTATAATTGGTAGGAATTGAGAGATGAACTGTGATGACAACCAACTTCCTATTATTCGCCATTTTTCTTTCGCAAACAAAGATCTTCTGGTATAGCAGAAACTCATGTTGTGCAGAAACACTGAGTTCAGAAAGATTCCAGTTTATGTAGTTTTCTTAATGTGTGCATAGAGAAGTACTTACACAGATGCATAATACTCCATAATAACAACTTCCTTCCCAAAACACAAATCCTATTTGAAAACTTATTTTTGTCCAAAAAGAAAAGTCGTAATTGAACAAATGAAGCTAATTTATTTATACCTATTGTATTTTTGCAACAAAAAAAAACTTAAACAACTTAAATTTAGTTATGTGAACAAACAAATGCAAATGGCAATGAAAATTGATGATTTTCAATAGTTGAACATAACTAAAATTTAAAATTTTTACCGTGGTAGACTACACTTGTTTTGGGATGGAGCTAATGGTATCCGTGCAAATTTTTAGTTTCCAAGTAAATTATGCAAATACTCCGTAGCATTATTTATGGATCAGCGCAATTCGAAGTAGCAGCAGCATAAAGCCCTTTCAACATGTCAAATTCCTCCATATTTGATGAATTAAGATACTTGTACTCAACTTGATCCCAAAAATAGTAAAACTATCAATGCTTTAAGAATGGAGAAAAAAAACTTAAATATTACTCCGTATTATAATATCAGGTGTAAGTAAATTCACCAGCTTTGAGGCCACAAGAAGCATCATCTGACAATAACTAGCAACTGACAAGAATTATTTCTCAAACTGCTTAGGAACAAGTCAACAGTTCAGAAAGCTAAAAATGTGAACTCAAAATAACCATAGCATGCAAAACTCATACCTCCAGGAATGCTACTTGCAGAAAGTTATGATCATAAATAAAATGTCCATTAGGATTAATTAGAAGAAAAACACCTGCAAAACTCTTATTATTGCATTTGAAAAGAGGGAACAAATGATTGGGTTAAAGCACTCTAATAGTGAATTAGTCTAAAATGCTAATACTAAATGAATTGCAGAGTAGATGCAAAAGTAGCTACCAAAATTTGAAGAACACATAGCCACATAGACATCGCCCAACTATTAGTCAAGGTACAGTGCTTGGATGATGTTTGACAAGTACAAGTTGGGGTGGAATGAAATTGCAGTCCCTACCTGAAATTCCTTATTCTCTTTGCCCCATTGTTTATGACTTATCTACTACTTCTACCCAAATTCAAGTTCGCATTATCTTCATTAAAAGAGTTCTCATTTGCTTTTAGCACGGAATCTAAGAAAATAAAATGGTGTGGTTGGACTTCATAGATAGACAAATGACATGAAACAGATTAGCTTTGAATGGAAGATAGCATCGATTTCCCAACACATTCATATCCAGAGGTTATTTTATTTGTCAATGTGTGATTTCAAGCCGTTACTCCGTAAAACATATGAGTCACTTGAGAGTAAGCTGAGAATTCAAGTCACCTGAAAGTGAGCAATTGTTGGTTTCAAGACCCTTGTGTTGTATTGGAAGTCATAAAACATGTACCCTTTCACCACATCCTTGTAGTCCTGGAATAGAATTATGAGCATTTATCCTATTTGGTCTGGTGTATTAACATTCACACAAAGACTTGGAGAGTAGAATGAAACCTTCTTAAGTTCCTCTCTAGAACGCGAGAGGCTCTCATAGTTTTCGTATTGCTGCAACCTCACTTCACGGTAATTGTCTCTGGTGACATTATACCGCTCCCACGGAATCCCTTGTATATCCTTGCCATTTCTGACCTCCATAGCAGATGTATCCGTAGCCGGGTCACCCTGCAAACCAAAACCACCCAAATCAACACAGTGCACTCCAAAGTATGGAATCAACACCACATTTACATGATTATTACCATTTCAAAAGCATCCTCAGTGTCGGATTCAGTAAATTCATCTACTAGAGGCCTCCGGGGAGCAATCCCTCGGTTTTCTCGAAGCAGACTGCCATTAGAACCAGATACGTTGTGGTAATCATCAGCCTTGTCCACAAGCTCCTGGCTCCGATCAAATTGCGCCATAGATTTAACACTGGTGTACACAACAAACACAACAGTGACAGAGAATACGAATCTGGTTCAGCAAGCAATATCCGAAAAGCTGAAAAATTCCGTCAACACGAATACGGATTGAAGAACGAATTAGAACTAACCTCGAGAAGAGGATGGAAAGCGTGAACGGAGAGTTCCAAATCCGGGCCGGAGAAGAGACGATTCCGATAAACGACGAGCAAAGGGAGAACTTAAGCTCAAGTTCAGGCGAATTTTGATGGCCGTGCGAAACTAGTTTTTATAGCGGTGAGGGGAGGAATCCCCTCCCTCTAGATTCGAGAAGGTTTGGGCGGGTCCCATCAAAACATCATCCCGCGGGACCCAAACTCTGTTGTAACGCTCGAAGATAACGGTTTTGCATGCTTTTCATATGAGTAGTAATGAGTAGAAACACAATAATAATAATAATACTCCACAAAATGATTTTTTTCAATTTATTTTATTTAAATATTGATATATAAATATAAAAAAAATAAATTTAATATTTAAAAAGTACATCACAAGTTTACTTTATCACATAGGTCATGAACAAATGCAAATAAATAGAAGTTCTCGTAAAATTGGAATAATTCTTTGGAAAAAAAATATGGGCCGGAGGAAGTACAACAAAAATTCTAGATAACAAAATGACACAAAAATATTAAATATACGAATAAACAAAAACTATCAAAAGTCTCAAACAGAAAAAATGTAAACTATTTAAGGATAGAAGAAGTAATAAAAGGTAGTTGAATCTCGTTAGAGTATAGTTTGGGAGAGATGTATCATGTATGTATGCAAATTTTACCCTTATCCGAAAAAAGAGAGATTATTTCCAAGAAGAAATATGGGAAAATATCATTCCATATTTATTTTCACTTTTCATTTACATAATTTTTTAATTGTTTTAAGGTGGAAATAGTATTTTTAATTTAGTGCCTTAGATAATATCGAAAGAAAATACTGAGAAAACTTTTGATGCTTGTAATCACCATCAACCAACTAAATAAATATATACTCCCTACATTTTTAAATAACTATTTATTATGACTTTTTAAATATATTAGATTTTAAGTTAATGTTGATGAACATCTTGTTCATATTCATTTGATTTTTAATGTATCTTGATAGTCTTATTAAATAGTTTTTTAAAAATTGATGAAATAAGTCGATAAAAAGGATAGCGAAAGAGTAATTAGAAGGAGAAAGTAAATGTGCAAGAATAACATAGACTTTTATTAAGAGTTTGATTTTGGGATTTCTTACAATGAGAGAGAAATATAGTATTCTGTCTGTCTGTCATAAATTTTCTCAAATATCCTTTTTATTTGTCCAGAAATCATATTTCTATTACCCATCTCGTCATTTAATATTCCCATCCAATTTCATTAAGTGAATAAGTGCATTTTTGTAAACTTCCACCTTTTTTAATTCTCCTTAAGAACTACTATAAAAATTTAAAAAGTCAATTTGAGAAGATCTATGACAGATGAAGAGAGTATTTATTATGAAAAGAGAAATTTTTCATGTAGACTGTAGACTAAGTACAATAAGCAACAAGTTGTTATGTAACGTGCGACGTGTTCTTGTTCCGAGTGAAAGATGCCAAAAGTTTTCTTGTATCTTTGGTGCGTTGAGCGTGTTCGAATACCGTGATGACTCTTCAGACCTAAGACTATATCTTTTATAATTCATACATTCACAATTTGAGAAGATCTATGACAGATGAAGAGAGTATTTATTATGAAAAGAGAAATTTTTCGTGTAAACTATAGACTGAATACAATAAGCAACAAGTTGTTATGTAACGTGCGACGTGTTGAAAGATGCCAAAAGTTTTCTTGTATCTTTGGTGCGTTGAGTGTGTTCAAATACCCATGATGGCTCTTCACGCTTGCTATATCTTTTAAACGAGTTGCATGGGGACGACGGAGGCTTTAGACTGTTGGCCATGTGCGCAGCAATTGTCCCGTGGCGGAGGCTATGTGAGCCAAGTCACAATCGAATGTCGTGGGCGCTTGTGTGCTGAATGCACTATAAGGCTAAGGTATGCGCCTCTTCTAACACCAATTGGTTTTAGAAGAGTTGGTAGCGCCTGAGGTCCTACAAGTGGTATCAGAGCCAAGGTCACGAATTCGATTCCCAGCGGGAGCAATTGCTGAGGGGGAGATTGTTGGCCATGTGTGCAACAATTGTCCCGTGGCGGAGGCTATGTGAGCCAAGTCACAATTGAATGTCGTGGGGCCTTGTGTGTTGAATGCACTATAAGGCTAAGGTATGCGCCTCTTCAAACACCAATTGGTTTTAAAAGAGTTGGTAGCGCCTGAGGTCCTACAGAGACGACCTCCATTAGAGACAACCTCAAGGTCTACCATTGTTCCCAAACTACCCTTGACTTCTTTTCTTGACCCAAGCCTATTTAGGTAGACTTGATCTAATGTACTCAAATCTAAATGAGTGAAATCCAAGCCTTCATGAGATGGTACCAAGATAGGCAATTGCAACTCTCTTAGGCCTTACTAGCTTAACAATCAAAGCTCAGGTGGAACATGGGTTCAGGCTTCACTAGCTTTTAGATCATGATGATCTTTAGATGATTGGAATTATTTTCCCAAGAGTAATTTGAATCCAGACAACTAAAAACTTCAATATTTTACACCACAATAATAGGTATGTTCTTTCCAACTTTGTATTCTAGAACTCCACAAAACACGGTTTAGCTCCGTACAAAAAGAAAAATGGCAGGCATTTATACTTGAATGACATCGCATTTCGCAGCAGCGGAATCTATCCTGGCTATATATATAGCACACACTTACAGTATAAAGAATACTTTTTTTTCCTCCAGATGAACAGATACAGAAGAACAGTGGCCAAACCAAGTGGAACCACATCACTCGAACAAGTCATCCAACTTTTGCCTGTACTGAGCCAATGTCTGCAGGGACGAGGGGAGAAATTGTAAATGTTGCCCAAAGATTTAGAATTTGTTAATACTTATTTGTTTTTGTTGTGTTACGAAAACCCAAGAAAATGTGTTTTTTGTATGAAGGATGCAGTTAAGAACATAAACTACAACAACAACAAACCTAGTAGAATCCCACAAGAAAAGGTGTGTGTATGTAGACCTTACCCAGTTACCCCTACTTGTAAGTAAAGAGGTTGTTTCCCCAAATTGACCATCAATACCCTAATGGAGTTGGGGGTTATTGTTGTCATTAAGACTCTAAACGATGCTCAATGCTCACGTGTTTTAAGTAACAAGGGTATTATAAATACTTGTGTAAAATAACCGTGACGACTAAAGACGCGAGATTTATCAGAATGGAGTAGCAAACCTTAGTGTAAGCATAAACGCCTGCCTCTTTAGGCCCGGCTGGACTTCCCCTGCGGATAAACCTTCCCTCTTTGAAAATGTAAAGCATGGGAATTCCAGTGGATAATTCCAAGCTTATGACCTGACCAAGAAAAAAATCATTCATTTATTGACTGTGAATGACGATGGAAATGGGAAGGGGCAATGTTGACAAAGACAGAGAATTCACCTCTTCGGAAGTTAGCTTGTCCAAGTACATAATGATGGATCTCAACGAATTCCCATGGGCGGCAATCATGACATTTTTCCCACTCTCAAGTTGTGGTTCAATCTGCAACATTATATACTTGAAGTGTGAATAATAGCAGAAAGTGTATATATGTCACGTGGTTGTTTACTGGGTAAACCTCACATAATCCTTTTGGGAGAAATTAGAAGTGTAGTTATGTTCACCATATTGACTTGTTTTTTCTTCTTCGTATTACTTATTCTAATTTTAATTAAGATCATACCATACCAAAAACATTCAGATTAGACCGGAAAGATGAATAAGACCATATGCTATATTTCATACAAGAATGTTAGATATTAGTAGATCCAACAATGCTACTTTAGCCCATGGATGACACCTAAGTTGAATCACGGACAGACAATCATTGTTTGTGAGAAATCATTGTCATCCTTGGTGTCACCCGTGGTGTGATTGTAACATGACCCTATTAGATCACACCAAAATTATTCAAAACAGATCACACTATTCAGGCAAAGAGAACATGTCCTTGGATCCAATTTAAAAGAAAATGACATCAAGAAACACACACACACACAGAGGTTCTTATTCTCACATTCTCTTTGAAGTAGGCAACCGCTCTTTGAGCACACATTTCCAAACTCTCACCATTTGGTGGAGGTATATCATAGCTACGACGCCATTCATGGACTTTCTCCTTTCCATACAGCTCTGCAGTTTCCTGCTTATTAAGACCCTGCAATTCCCCATACCTACAAAGCAAAAATGAATCAGATGCTCTGGGAATTCCAAGTGATATGGGGATGATAACAAAACACATGTAAACAAGCTTACATTCTTTCATTCAATTGCCATGCCGTTACGACAGGGATGCATTGCTTCTTGGTCTCTTCACTGAAAATTTGACTCCATGCTCTTGCTTGTTCATTCTCATTGTGTGTGATGATTGGCACCTGAATACAAATTGGAAGATTTGAGGAAAAGTAATTCAAGGTGTCAGCTCAGGTATGACACACACACACCTTGAACTTGAAATTTTTCAAAAAAAAAAAAAAGAAGAAGAAGACAGAACATGTAATACAAGATGGGCTAGATCAGTCAGGTATCAGTATATTTACTTCAGATGCACTAAGATCTCATTTGGAATGGTTGAGAATTAGAAGATTCCAAGGGATACCCTATCCCCAAGTTTTACACAATTTAAGCGATTTCTCATTCCAATCAAGATTTTCTAACGTTTCCATAAGAAATGCCACAAAAAATAGCTGATCTACGTATGGGCCTGTAAGAAAAAGAATTACTGCAAGTTACCTTCTTGCGCCGGTGCTGAGTCATAGCAAGCATGGCAGTCATCTGTGCACGAATCAAAGAAGACGTATAGATCATGTCAACAGGTATATTGCTGATTCGCCTCCCTGCTTCAATAGCCTCGTCCACACCCTTTTTGGTCAAAGGCACATCAACGCAGCCCGTGAACAAGTTTTTCTCGTTCCACATTGATTCTCCGTGCCTAATCAGGATCAAAGCAGCTTCCTCTGTGACATTAGAGAAAAGAATGTCAAAGGCTTAGTAGTTGATTGATATTACCAGATGAGGTTCAAGCTTCTTTACTATCTTAGTATCTCCCTTTTCCAAAGGGAAACCTCAGCAGTGAACATGCTTTAAGGGCGAATCAGACCCAATTTAACAAAGCGGATCACAACAACGTTTCAAAGCAAATGAACAATTCGCAGAATAAAATTCAAAATAAAGGCCCGTACTCGTTTTCTTTTTGGAATCATTGGGTGTGGTAATAGATGGAGCCGGAACAGCTTCAAATGCCGCAGTTTGAGAGGTGGATGCCTGAATCACACCAAAACTTTGCTTCTTAAACCAATATCTTCCTCTTGCCGCCAATGCAACATCAGCCCTGAATCCACTTGAGGCTGACTTCATTGAGGCATTTCTACAATCATGATGTAGGCAAGAACGGCTAAAGCGACTGGCGGGTTGAATTGCTCCAATTGCTTGGCATGCTGCAGCTGCCATGTTCACTTCTGAAAAAAAGTAGCAGAAACAAAAGAGTTCATTCAAGTTCCCAGTCAACAACAAATCGAGTAAAGATCATTCCAGAAGGTATGCATCTCATGAACTTCTTGGAGGAATGGGAAAGGGCGAAAACAAATGGTACTAAATTTCAAAAGAATCGATTGCCCAACTAGAAGATTCCACAACCAGTTTTCATCATCCAATGACCCAAATTTCCTCCCAAGAAACGCTTATACATGCGCCCACAAACACATAATTCCCAATATTAATTTGAATTTATTAAAAAAAACAAGTCTTTAAGAAAAATGGAAGTACTCCTAATTCCTAAACAGCATTTCAATCCCTAAAAAAGAAAAAGTGGGGGAGAAGTGAAAAAAAAAAAAGCAGAAGAAGAGAACTCACATGAAGCAAGGGGAGAAAGATGAAAGAGTGGAGAGGGAGAAGGGTTCGGAAGTATAAATACTGTAAATGAGAAGGGTCAATGTCGAATGAAAAGGAAGGAGAGGATCGCGAAGAAACCGAGGCAGACAAGAATGATACCCCAGTTTATTCGCAGGGCGAAGAAGAGGTAGATGCGCTGCTCATTTGCTTGCTAGATTCTGTCTCTTCTCTCTCCCAAAGAGGAATATTACTCCCTATTTGATGCCGGATACCGTATGTAAATGTTTGAAAAGAAATTCATAATTGGAACTTTGACTATAAAACTCTTTGAAAATACTGTTGGAGATTATCTCAAAGTTTTGAATAAACGTTACCGTTCAATGTTGTCCATAGATAATCTTTTCAAAATACTAATGCTAATCTCAAATGTTATTTTCATACAGACGAAAAGAGTAAACAATGCAAAGTATGAGGCTTCTACAAGTATCATGAAACTCATTTTTACGTCAAGATTGGAATTATAGCTCAAGTTACCTCGTCTCTGCTAACAGTGCTAAGAGACTCTCGGGGATAGTGTGTCATTTTTTTGAAAAGAACATATTAAGAAGTGCGGGTGGGGGCGTTGCATGTGTAGGCTTAACACCTTTGTTTAATTTTTGACAAGTATGATGGAGGTAATTATGTTAAGGACATGATTTTTGCAAGTATCAAGTGGAAGCTTCATTTTTTGTCGCATAAATGTGATTATAACTCAATTTATCTCCTCTTAGGTGGTTGTCTCATCGATTTTGGTGGCCCTCATGCTCATCCATCCTTTTGAAAATAACCCGATGCGAGTTACCAATTCTGGACAATTTTTTATATGAGATTTATCAATACAATAACTTTTAGTGCTCATCAACTTTTTGTATTTATAGTGTTATCAATACAGTGATGAAAAGATATCAGAGAAAATGAATTTGACAGAAAATGAACTGAATGCCGCTCTAAGTTCCTGCCTAGAAAGAAATATGGGGTAATTTGAGTGTTTGAGAGGTGGGCTTGATCGGTAGTAGTTGTCCACTTGTCCCATTTGGCCCAACTACTCAGGGCATCCCTATAATCCAACTAACAAATTTTGATGAAGAATCACCTAACCCCGCGGCAAATTGCATCCCTTTCGGCTCTAGCCTAACTTTAATGTGAAAATTCTAATCATCTCATGATAAATTAGGGGAAAATTAGTTTAAATTTTTTTTTGAATATTTAAGTCTTTTAGTGTACAATGATTATATAAATGACATACATTCATGCAATACACATTTTAACTATAAATCATAAATAAAAAATGTTCTTATTTATATCGCTTTTTTCTTTTGACAACAATTCTTCAAGGAGCATGAGATTCCTTCCAAAATAATTATTGGTTCTTACCCTCTATCTCTCCAAAACGTGAATTAGCAACAATTTGTTGTGGATCGGTGAAGGAAGGGGGAGGGCGAAGGGGGGTTTGGGGTAGGAACAATCATCTTTTCAGTCGGAGTACCATATGTGCTATTTTCATATTATAACATTAATAATTTTTGTCAAGAGAATTGGGTTGTTATTTATAATATAAATTTTATGTAATTTTGTTCATTTTAAGATAAAACTAAATAGATTAATTTTATAATATTTATTTGATTTGAACTATATTTATTAATAGTTAAAGTGTGTAACACATTGACCAAAAGGTCAACCTGTAATTTTAATTTTGGGTCAGATGGAGTATTTACTCCACGCAATATCTATTCAGCGAGCAATTCATTTATCATTAGTAAATAAGGAGTATATAAGTATCTATTGGTAGCACTTGTTTTTCATTTATAGTGAGCAGGTTATTCTTCAAAAATAAGTATTTACTACCATTATATTATTATATGGTACTTGTCTAGTTTGACTTTCTTGAACGAGTGATAGTCTAACAGCGTCCAAAAGAATGAAGTCCAAAATGTATAGATTATATCGATCTAGTCCTCAGCCCAGAGATTGATCCACACGTATTAGCAAAGGTTACTATGAGTCTCACTTGTAAATTGGCCTCACTCGGCATGGAATAGATCGAGTAGAAAATCCACTCAGGTATGATAACGAAATAGTAGTGTTAGCTGCCGTACACCGAAAACTGAAAAGCTTATAATGAGTCTTATCTGTACACTTGCAGTTACCTTTGATCGGAGATATTTCATAGAAAAATGCTAGGGGCCTAGTACACCAAAAGTGTACCACGAATCTACACCACCCCCTCCAATGCGACATATATTGGCAAATAAATTAAACAAGAAATAAATTAATAAAAATGAGTGGTAGAAAAATGGGTGGTGTACATATAGGGTATACTTTTAGTGTAACCCTAACATCCCTCTATTTCATAATATATGGACCAAATGAGGAAAGAGTATATTACCCCTTGAAAATTGAAAAAAAACTTATAATTATCCATCTCTGAAACTTGGACAACGAAAAAATTTATTTTGAGAATGGAGATAGTTGTTACGCCGTCGTGTGACTCCACCGTAGCTTGAATTAGACTAGTCATTAATACATCTTCCTCGTTTATAATCGCCCCTAGACTAGGATTTCTCTATTGTTTGGACATTCTAATAATTGTACTCGTACTCTCCAACTCATTAATCAATAAATATCACTTTTCATCCCATAATATTTGTATTCCCTTGATTACTCATCGATAACATTCGGCAATTAAGTGAAGTTAGACCTTTAGGATTCTCACAGTCTTTTGTTCCAACACTTAGATCTTTTGTTCCAACACTTAGAGGGGTGTATTCAATCTAAACTCTGTAGCATTTTTTAGGATTTTGAAAATCAATAGGTATTCAATTAAGATTTTAAAAAGTCAACTAAAATTTAATGGTATTCAAATTAGATTTTAAAATGTCTATTAAAATCTAATGGTATTAAATACTCCATAGATTTAGAAAGATTTTTATTAGATGTAGATTTTGATGGATTTGTAGTTGTTTTTTCTAAGGGAGACTCTGCAAACAAATCCTTCGTCACATTCAAAGATTTTAAAAAGTCTTTTGCCCTTTCTTCTTCTTCCCTTCTTCTTCTCCTTTTATTCATCTGCACATTATTTTCCTTGCCCTCCTGGTCGAGCTCCAGCTGGGGATGATGAATCTAGCTATGGAGGGTGCAATAAATTCTCCCTCATCACATTCCCAANGGAAATCGACGCTTGGGTGGGGTGGTGAATCTCTGCTCCTCCTCCGGATTCAGAGATTGGTTCTTGAGCGTTTGCTTTTGGTGCTCGTAGAAAAGGGTTAGATCTCCCAACTTCTCTCTCAACCCATGGTGCCAGTCCCGCACGGCGATTTGGTCGTCGGTTTCTTGATTTCCCTGTTTCGTTCTAGGTTTCCGTTCATTCTGTGATTGGCTATTGCTGATCTGAGATCTTGTTGAAACCGTCATTTCTAGCAGAGAGTGTGGAACCTACCCAGATATTATGCTCTCGCGCATTGTTCTTCGTGGAAATGTGAAGAAATTTCTGGTGAAAATCAAGAAGAAATAAGAAAGAAAGAAAGAAAGAAAGAAAGAAGAAAAAAATGAGAAGAAGAAGAAATCGAAGAGATGATCTGGGTGGAGAAAACGATAAAGAAAGAAAGAAGGAAGAAAAAAGAAAAAAAAAGATTCATGGATAATATATAATCAAACATAATCATATAAAATCCTCTTGAAAAATACATTAAACTCTGTATGACTTTGAAAAATCCATTGATTTTACACATTCCATAGATTTCAAATAATCTATCAAAATCTTTTAAAATCTGAATTGAATACACCTCCCTTAGAATATACAAAATACTATTCGTTGCATGTAAAATCATTAACACTAAAGAAAACTTAAATGCTCACTAAACGTAAATAAATAATTTACTAACGTATAATATCCTCTTGCATACTATCGTTTGACCAAATTTTTTATTTAAGACCATAGGGTGTGGTTGCCGCCTTTCCCTCTGCCACCTAAGCGGCTAAGCCCTTCCACTATCACACCAGATGCCGAACACAAGAAAGGGGGAGAAAGCTAGGAAGAACGGTTACCAGAAAAAGAGAATGAACGTCCCGTCGATATCGCATGCAGTATGAAAGAGACGGATGTTCTCACACCGTAATATTATCATATTTGCATATTGCTTCTGCTTCCGCGTCGTAATTAAAGTCTAAATTTAATTAGATGATAATTTATATTAAATTTGTAGTATAATTAAGGAGCATATTACTAGTATAATTCGAGTAAATTTAGGAAACTTTAACCAAGAAATATCATTGTTGAATGATGAGGGCGTAATTAGGGATTGCGATATCCACCGGACACTTGGCTCATAACTCACGATTAAAGAATCAAATATCTTCCCCCAATTGGACTACCCCGCCGTATCTGTCTTTCTCACTATCTCCCCCCCGTCTTCATATCCATCACTCGTAACTCATAAGCAAAATCAAAATCAACGGTCCAGATCTCACCGTCCCCCGGCGGCTCCTCCTCCGTCCTCAACCCCTCTCCTCCCAAAACCCTCGCTCGACTCATCAACGATGCCGGAGAAGCGGCCCAGGACACAGATGAAGAGAACTGCCAGCATTACTGGCGGTCTGGATCTTGCTTCCGCCGCCGCCGCCGCCTCTAGATCCCTCCGTCGGAAAGTCGAAGATTTCGCCCAAACCGCTGCTAGTTTCTTGAATGCGTGTTCCCTCTGCAAACGGCGTCTCTTTCCCGGCCGCGACATCTACATGTACAGGTATATACTAATTCCATCCTATTGGTCTAGTTTAACTTTTTTGACAAATTTTTCACTCGAATTAAGTAAAATAGGTATTAGTATAAAAATAATTTAATTGGAGAATTCTCAAAATTTTAATTATATTAATATGCAATACAAATAGAGAATAATTGATGTTTAAAATTTGTCGTAGTAAGTAATCGTAATCATGACTCTGTTGTGTTTAAAAGTAAAAGTAGGGTAAATTCTAAAAAGTAATTCTTTATTACATTGGATTTTTCACATAGACGTAGTTGTGTATTCACAAAGTAAGTTGCGGAGAGCTAGGTTGAGGTGGTTTCGGTATGTGAGACAACGAAGTGATGATGTCTAAGTGCGGAGGTGTGAGGGGTTCACGGTGATGGGTGGAGGGTAGGGGCAGGAAGAGGGAGACCTATGAAGAATTGGAAGGAAGTAAATAGACAAAATCTAGTACTTTTGAATTTGGCCTTTATCAAGGAATTTTGGATTTGAACTTTATCGAGGATGTGACTTAGGAACTTTTGGAGAATTAGGATTAGGGTAGTTAGGCAGACGTTTCTCACTCTTTGATGGCGCGCTTGATTGCTTTCTATGCTTGGTGTTTTCTACTTGTTATGCCTTTCTCTCTAAAATTTGTTGCCATGGCTTTTTATGCTTTGTGCTTCCCCTCCTTTATGTGTCTTCTATGAGTTGGTAGTTGGTACTATCTGTGTTACTTGAGCTGCTGGCCTCTTGGAAAAAGTCTGGACCCTAAGCTTGTAGGATTCAATTGGGTTGTTATTGTTTGTTCATGGTTTTCTATATTTGAGAATAATTTCATGATTAATCATTTATAGGAAAAATTATAGTCCGTAATTTTTTTATTAGTCTACAAAGGGAAATTTTCAAATGTAAAAGAACACGAACATAATATTTCGAAATATATGACTATAAAAAGTATTTCACGTTTAGAACTTGGATGTCGGGGTAATTTCAATTTAAATTTGAAATACAGACATCAAAAAACTAAAGTCATGAGAATAGAAATTAATATTTTTTTAACCGAAATATAAGGTTGAAAAAAATATGCTCCAATAATTGCTATTGTTCCACCACTCGCATACTAATATAGTATTACTTTCTTTGCTTTTTTATGTTATAATTTTGATGAAATAAAATAGTTATGTTATTCCTTACTTTGATTTTTTTTGTATATTTTAAAATATTTAAATTTAATTTTTCAATGCTATTCAAATATTCAAATAAATATTCAGGCTTCATTCTTCTATCACAAATATTCTACTCTATACTTACATTATGTTTGGATCGTGAAATTCAAAATGCGAGGAAAGGAAGGATGACTTCTCTCCTTTTCTTCACCATAACGAGAGGAAAATCTTTTTCCTTCTCTTTGGTGCATTTTCATGTTTTCTTTTCCCATTTTTGCTTTCCAATTTTCTTTTATTTTTCTTTTTAAGTCAAACAAGAAAAATCGTTCTCTCTCTTTTAAATTTCTTGAACAAAGCACAATGTTCAGAAAACAATAAAAACCAAAAATTGGTAAGAGTGTGGCGGGGGGGTAGAAAAACTGTCATATTTACATTTTTGCATTATATGTTCTTCACCAATTCTTTTCTTCCCATTTTTTCCATTTATAACCAAACATCAAAATTGCCTTTCTTTTTCTTTTTCTTCATCTTTTGAATTCCTTCGACCAAACATCATGTTATAAACTCCAAATTTAAGATTTCATAATTTAGAATCTCAGATTGCATATAAAATAAGTCCAAGAGAAGTAATATGCATTTCTTATAGGAGTTGGGTAATTTTCCATTCTTGACTTCTTGTTATGTTTTTTTGTTGGGTTTATGTTTGTTATCCCTATGTTTCTACTTACTCCGCATGTTTTACTTTGACAAAAACAAACTGTGTAAAGAGATAGATGCATTTGGAATCATGAATTAATCAATAAAAAAATATAACTCTGTGTGAAGTATATTACTCAGTAAATTACACTCACATTAGTATTTCTCTGGGACAAGTGAGAAATTATAGTTCTCACAGTTTTTAACTTTAACGTTTTCAAAGTTAACTACGCTATTAATAAAATATTCAAAATGCTAAACACAATTGGCTCCGTTTGGCACACAGAATTCAAACTATGGAATTGGAATTGGAGACAACAATTCCAATTCTTCTATTTGATTGCACAAAAATATATGGATTTGGAATTAGTAGTGCCAAAAATGAATTGGAATTGGAGAATTCAATTCCATCCAAATCAATTCCATAGAATTTCAATTTCTAATTCAATTCAATTCCTTGTACCAAACGGATCCAAAGTCTAAATTCGATCAACTCCACATTAAGACTTTGTTTGGACATGAAGTTTAAGATAGTGTTATTGTTTTGAATATTTTTTGTGAAGGGTATAGATTCACTTGAAGAATCTTAAAAGCTAGAAGCACCACACTTTCAAAATGCAAAAACTAAACACAAATGTGAATGCCAGAGAGTTTTTTTTTGAAAGCTAAGAGAGCTTAAGTTTACTTGATGTTTGTTCTTTACTCAACTCATACATACACTGATTTGTTTAAGTGCTTGTTTGGAACAATTTTAGCATTTAGCTTTAGTATTTTCAAAAAGTTATCGATTGACAATGTTTAGTTTTAACATTTTCAAAGTTAATCTTCCCCATTAAAATATTTTTCCAAAACGCCAAACTCTTCCAAAACAATGTTGACAATGTCTATGGTTTGTTGTTAATTGTTATTGTTCAGAGGAGACAGCGCATACTGCAGCGAAGAATGCAGAGAACAACAAATAAGACAAGATGAGAGAATAGAGAAGTGTTTATTAATTGCACCAAAGAGTAAGGCAGCCGCCACAACGGCCACCGCACCAGCCACCGGATCGGAGGCGGTTGCAACCACCGGCGGAACCATCGCCGCCCTGTAAATTAGATAATTTTAGCAGCTTTCTTGTTAGAAACCACTCCCCCCCGTCTCTTAATTAAGTTTCCGCTTGCTTTTTCACGAGGTTTTAGAATAGTGAAATTGTATGATGGAAGTTTATGTAAGAGATGGAGACACTTCTTTCCCTTATTCGAATAAGAACTTCTTTCTGGGATAACTTACAAAAGAAAACAATAAATTCTTTTTGAGACGAAAGAAATACTAGTCTCGTGTATGTGGTTTTGATATCTTTTTTGAAGTACTGCTATTTGCTAGCCGCCCCAATTTTACACTAAGGCTATGTGCCCTTCAACTTATTTTTTTTTACTTATTACTTAGGTTTTGTTTCGTTCGCCTGATTTGATCTGTTTTTTCAAAGATTTGATCTGATTTTGGTCTGATCTGATCTGATTTCAATTATAAATAAAGTTGCTTCTGATCTGATCTCGTTTGATCATATTAAAAATAAGTAATGAACTGAAAAAATAAGTGGAACATAATGCTATCTTATTTTTATTAAAATTAGATAAAAAAAAATATAACTTGAAGTAAAACTAAATTCAGATCAAACCAGATGAATCGGATTTTATTCTAGAAATTATCCTAAATAGGACTAAAACATAGAGAAAAGTACCAAAATAGGACTTTCATGTTTTTTTTCCCGGAATAGAACTTTGCACTGTGGTAATGTGCCTTTGCATTGTGGTAATGTGGCAATGTACATATGCAAATTACTATACTTTCTTGGTAATGTATATGGCCATGTTTGGTAATGTAAGTCCTATTTCAAAAATAAAAACATGGAAGTCCTATTTTGGTATCTTTTCAATGTTTTAGTTCTACTTTGATCTTTCTACCATTTTATTCCAATCAAATCATACGAAGAGAACATAGCCTAAGAGCAATCATTTTAGATTTAAGAATTTTTTTTCAGATTTCAAAATTCATGTCATGTTAAATGTGCTCGGCTCACCGGGGCCGATATGATGATGAAGCTTTTTTAGATTTATTTATTTTCTTCCACACCTACTTTTGCACTTTTTTTTTGGTTTTGTAATACTCCATTTAATTATGAGCTGGTAAAGGTGGTTGATTTTGGTCTTTCCTATGACTTATTTTTCTTGTTGAAGCAAGAGAATTAGAAGATGAACACTAAGATCAATTGCAGCTAATGACCTACTGGACTTCTTGCCAGTTTTGGAGGTTCCCCACATTTTGATAACTTGCCCCCCCCCCATCACAAATTTAATTTATTTTATTTAAAATCACTAAAATAAAATCAGAGCCACTTTTACTATTTTTAGTTTGTGGCACATAATAGTTGGCATAAGTAACATGTCATAACTGAGAGAAATTGAGAGTATTAAGCTATTTTTAGGAAAAAATATGATATGAAAAAACTTACTCCTTATTTATTTAAACTCTATCTAATTATTTTAGCTTTTATCATTTTTTATTCTTCCATGTTTTTTTTCATGGGGTATCTAAACAAAAGACTGTCTTAATTCAGTAAATTAAAAATGAATTAACATGGATAAAAATAAGTTTAATTATATCCCTCTAATGATCATGATTTTTGATGTACCAAAAAAGTATAAACTCTTCAAATTACAATTTAACAATATTTTTGAATTACGGAGTATATGATTACAAAAAAAGAATATTCGATATTTTCTCATTTCAGTTTATTTTAAAAATCAGTATAGCAATAAAAGAAATTATAGACAGTATTCAAAATAACAAATTGAAATTACTACAAAATTATTTTTGACGACAAAACAATTAGACAGAAATAGTTAGCAAAAAAAAGGTGATTAGCCAAAAATTAATGTAAGCAAGCTGATTCGGTCAAACCTTTATAATAAAAAAAACAAATAAAATAAAAAAAATCGCTAATTAATTACTTCCGAAATTACATTCATTTGCCCAAACAACTCAAAAAGGACATTTCACGTGAGTTTATATTCCAACCCTAATTTTCTCCGCTGCCCAAACCAAAACGTTTTGGCCATATTAGCTACTCTCACTCAGCCTCGTAAATCAGCGATAAAGAAAAACAAAAAAATTGAAAAAAAGGTGAGAAGACGGTAGATCTCCCGCGCGCGCTTGAAAACCACCGCCGCGTCCACCGGTGATTGCCGGTAAACTTTTGACCCGACCGCGATCCGATCCGACGGCCCAAATTAATGCTCGGGCGACCCCCTGCCTCTCCCCGCTCTGTATGTATATATAATACGATGCGTTTCCGGAGAATGCAGATTGATTTTACGGTGGGAAGGAATTAACCTCTAATTACCATATCGGGTAAATCAATCGAGGTAATTTCTCGTTCTTCTCTTTTTTCTTACTGCTCCCTGACAATCCATTTATTTAAGTGCACTTTTCATTTTACTGTTTTACATGCAATGCCGATTACATTATTTTTTTTACCGTGTCTGTCAATGTGGAGCCTATGATCTGGAAATTTTTAATTTTTGTCGAAATTTAAGTTTTTATTTTTATTTTGATTTTGATGATGCATATTTTTTAATTAATTAATTAATCGCGCTTACGTCTCTATTATCTTTTAATCTGTTATAGTCGTGCATCTCCAAGGTACGTCTCCATTTCAATATATCCTCTATTTGTTCTTATTAAACAGTACTTCTGTCCTTCTGTGTCTTAGTGTATTTTTCTAGTTTGACTTTTTAAATTAATTAAACAAGCTTTCATATCAGTACAATAAAATAAAATTTAAAAAGTTCTTAACGAGATAAATCTGATAGAATCATTTTCTTACTAATATACATTTTAAATTTTGTTTACTTGAAATTTATAATTCATCTTGTTTGTCTGAAAAAAGTCAAATTAGACAAATATATTGAGATAACAGAAGAAAGTAATTGTTCATCAAGGATGAAATGAATTGTTGTCTTAGGGGATCTCATTAATTATATTGTTGTCCCAAAATCACATTCTTATTGAGTATTGAGTAGTGATTTGTGAATTTTAAGACTGCAAAAAATGGTTTAACATACTCAACAACTCAAATAAATCTACCCATATCTCACCAAAAACTTTTTGTACTCCATAAATGACACACGTTTTTGCCTGCTTTGCAAAACACATGTTACAGGGTATTCCCTATATGTTTTGAGGTAGACAAACATATCTTGTTTAAAGTTATGGGAAAATTGACAAAAATAATCCCACATTGTTAAACAAAAATAATACCATGATGCTGAATTAATTTTAAGTTATCATGTGGTAAATGAGTATAATTCTCACCTGTTAACTTCCATTAATTTCTTTTCATCATGTTACTTTTTGTGTAAAATGTGAGAAAAATATTTCTCTGATTAGAAAAAAGAACAAAACTTATAAAAGTCCAATGTCCGTGTGACCGAGACAAAAGTTATGTTAGCTTTCACACTTATAAAAGTTAATTGACGTTATAAAGAGTAACAAACTCCGCGACAAATGTTGTTACGACAGTATTCATGAAAAAATATACGTCACAAATGCGTGTTTTTTTGTAGTGCACCGTCTTTGTTTATCACGTAGTAATAAGTTGAGATTATTGACATAAAAATTTATGTATTTAATTGCTCTAGTTTTGTAATTTATTTTTTATTATTGTCGAAATAATTCTTTCTTCGTCGTAGTGTATTTGTCTTGTTTGATTTTTTTGAGTCAAACTAAACAAACATTGGCCTTTAATTTAACAAAAATTATAATTTACTACGTATGTTAGTATAAAAATATTGTATTAGATTTATCTTCTTAGAACTTTTAAAATTTTATTTGATTAAACCAATATGTTATAAAAATTAAGTATAACTGAATTTCAAGTTTTGTCTATTTTGACTTAAAAAGTCAAATTGGACTAAAACATTGCCAAAGAGGCAATCTGCATCTGCTCCAATCACATCTTTTACACTTTCTTTGTATTTAAAGTTGTTCTCATTTCTTTTTTTAAGAAAAGAAGTGATATTTTTATGTTACTCTTAATGTGATGGATAAAAGAAGGTTGCGTTAGGTAAATTATTATTAAAAATGTATGATGTGATATGTAAGGTAAAAAGTAGTAGCGACAGAACTAGTTTTTTAATAGAAAAAGAAGAACTTTGTGGAACACACAATAAAGCAAGGACTGTTTGGTACACGAAATTGACGGAATTAAAATTAAATTGTGACTTGAAATTCTAGGGAATTGATTTGGATGTAAAATTTGTAACGAAATTTGAAAGTATGCAAATTTTATTTCTAATTTTCAAACAAAGCATAGAATTTAACGAAGATATAAAATAGAAGCTACTAGGTGCACCGTATAAGATTAATTATTAATTGCAGCATATAAATCGCCATTAGTCACTGCACAAATTTTCTAAATCGTTAAACGAATCACATTACTATAATACTTCCTATATAATTTCCCTATTAATTCCCCACTTCTCGTACTATATTCCCAACATTAGTATTATTGTTCTCTACCCAAAACTTATAAAATCGTTAAGTAACATTAATTTCCCCGACGACCGACCTGCCGGCGGCGGTTTGTGTGTGACAGGTGACCGGAAATGGCGGCGCCACCGTCAATCGGAGACATGAGCATTTCCTCTCATTGCAAGTATGTGCTGTGCGGCGGCGGCAGCAGCAAACAAGAAAACAATAATGTCTCTTCATCCTCTTCGTTGGCATCACCTAGAAACAACCTAACCACTACCAGTAATAACAACAATAATGGCAAGTTGAAGTCCTTGTCCATGACGGCGGCGCATTCAAAGCTCCGCCCGTCGTCCCCGGCGGCTTGCCACCTGCAAGGAGCGGATCAGTTCTCTCACGGTGGGTGTCTCCCCACCGCCGACGACGACGTGTCGTTCCCGCGAACCAGGTACGTACTCGTAATAAAGTCCGTACTTACACAGTTCTATATTAACTGCTATTAATTGATTTTTTTTGTTGTTTGACTTCTTATATTACTCCAAAAAATTTTCTTTTCATTTCCTTTTGTTCGGCCAGAAATTTTTCATTCTTGTTTTTGTTTTTGGCAGTATTTTTTTTTACAAAGGAGGGAGTACTATTTATTTAAATTTTTTGAGTTAAATTGCACAAATTTTGATTATTAATATAATAAAATTTGTATTCAATTTTGGTATTTAAATAATTCACAAGATTTACTACCTATGTCCTATAAATTCTTTACACATGTTATTGGATTACTAAAAAAATCATTCACAATTCTTCCTTTTTTT